TCCATCTGCTCCATCTGCTCATCTGCTCTCACATATCAACCAAAGGACCACACGGCACTCCGGCAGCTGGTGACGACAAGTCACATGCCGAACAGCCCGGCGCCGAGCAGCGATCGGCTCGGCGGATGGCCGGGTCTCCTCCGTCTCAGCGGCCAGTTGCCATGACAACGCATGATGGTGTGCTTACCAGGGTGGAGAGCCGAGGTGCTCCTCGGCTCGTGCTGAGTGGGAGATCAGGCTGTTTTATCTCAGTCAGATGCCGGAAACAGGGCCGAGACCGTGACGGTGTAACGTAAAGCGTTGCTGTGATGTCTCTGACCCTTTGACCGCTTTGGCGCCCTTGGATGTTGTTGACCCGGAGCTGAAGACAAGCGCTGAGCGGCGGCTGGGGTTACTTTCTGCGGCCTCAGTTCAACCACCCCTTGGCCGCATCTGGGCTCGCTGACAACCCAATCGCAAGCGCCCACGAAATATGAGGCCGCGCAAAGGCCTTCCCGCCTCTCCCAGCCTCCCGTCCTTTTGGCAATGGCCAATGGAGGGCGCGAATCGTGGTGATCGGCCATGCTGGCTTCCCAGCCCGCAGATTCTCGTGCTGCAGCAGGGATCTGACCGACCCCCCCAACCACCCCATCAAACGCAGCTTGCACGCTTGCGCTGCAGGAAATCCGAGATCGAGAGCTCCAAGTGGTCTTGGCCAGCTGTGCGTTCAGCCTCCGCGTTTGATTGAAATTGCCAGGAGCTTCTCAGAGGTCACGCCAAAACAGAGCTTCCAAGTTGGGGTGCTGGCACATTGAGAAACTCGGCAATTGGCGCAACAATTTCCTGCCCCCCATCAGCCGATCATGGCTATCCCCCAACCCGAAGGAGGTTGGAGAGGCCGATTGACGACCAGCACACCCTGGTTATGGGGGGCTCGGGGGGGTCGGCCAGCAGCGCAATGCGCAATTGTGGATGAGGTTTTTCAGCTCGCGACGGAACAGCTGCTAGCCCAAAGCGGCGAGACGCGACAACCTGGAAAAAACGAGCAGGGAGGTTGGGGGAAACCCCCGCAGAAAGGGAGCAAGGGTCGGCCTTGTGGGGCTCCGAAACGATGGGCTAAACCAATTCAAGCCACAATAAACAAGATAGGGACCCACATCATGTAAACAGACAATCTGGAGCTCCTGCCACTCTGGGGGGACTTGTGCCTTGGTTGGCGACTACCAATTGATCCCGGCCGGTGCGGCCACACAGCGATTCTCACGATCCCATTGGACTTTGGTCACACTGCTTGGAACTATCGCTCTCCCCGCCAACCAGCGACAGGTTCGGAAAAGCGCCGCCTGGATGCGTATTTGAAGCGGCCTCTCTCGACCAGCCTGGCCCCGATCTTCTTCTCCTCCTTCTACACTTGCACACACCCCATCCGCTCACAACCAACCACAAATCCCCAAACCCCATTCTTTCCCTTGTCGGAATTCGATTGAAAAAGAAGACAGGGTCCATCCACAGACCGCCTTCTCACCTTTCACTCGACTTCT